CATTTGTGCTTTCCTTCTTTCCTCCCGCCTGTATGGCATCCCGGGGTTTCTGTCTGTGCTCGAGTGAGCATGTGTACCCAACACATGTATTTACCGCGGTACCAGCCGTCATTCTCATGTGTGCAGAGTGTCAGAAGCGTACTGGAGGCCGCTGTTCATTTGGCCTGGAGTGGCACAGGTCTGCTGCTCCTCATTAGACACGTCACCCAGATTCGGACCTCCTGACAGCCGCCACAAGAACCTATAAGGCCTGTCTCTTCTTTTTAGAGGATTCGGGGTAATTTGCTGCCTTCTGCAGAGGCTGTTTACCGCGGGCAGCATTCCAGTGGAGGAAACGGTGCTGGTTAGATGGTGCCACTGGTGCGAGGAATAAACCACAGAGGCTGAGAGTCATTTGCACATGTCTTTTACAGAGAAAATAATCTGATTGTAGTAGTTGTGTTGAACACCGGGAGCTCCTGAAAGGGACACTTCACCCACAAATGACAATTCTGTCATCATTTGCTCAGAAAATGATGTCATCCTCATGTAACTTCAGGAATGCGGGGGTTTATTCCTTCTGTGAATCGCAAACGGACAGGTTAAGGAGGGAGATTAGCTGTTTGTATCAGAATAGCAATTAGTAAATGAATAAATGAATGAATGATTGAATGAAGAAATGAATGATTGAATGAATGAATGAATGAATGAATGGATGAATGAATGAATGAATGAATGAATGAATGAATTTTAAATGTACTTTATTTAATCAACTTATTTTACTTTCTTAAAAAAATAATATTAATAAAAATAATAAGAAATTGTATCTTTATTTATTTATTTATTTATATTTTTATTAAATTATGTCAATTTTTAATACTCTACCGGCCAATAGTTTGGGATCAGTACAATGGATTTTTTAAATTTATTTATTTATTTATTTATTTATTATAGTTTTTTTTTATTCATTTATTTATTCATAATTTTTATTTTCATTAGTTATTTTTATTTATTTATTTATGTATTATTTAATTTTTATTTATTGATTTTATTTTATTTTATTTTTATTATATTTTATTCATTCATATTTATTTATATGATCAAAAACAAAGTAAAATTACAGCAGAAATGATAGTAATTTCTAAAAATGTAAAAACTATTACCCTTCCTTTGAAATTTGCTGTTTAACGTAGATTAGGTTTTTTCAGCACATTTCCTAAACGTCATAGACGTTTTGCTAGAAATTAGTATTATATTCATTTATATTTGGTAAGATATTAGTATTTAGTCTAACTGCAATATGAAGGTGTAACTGATAAGTTTACCTAGGCAAGTTTAGTTATACTATATTAATAATAATACAATAATAATAATATATTGGCACTAAAATATTATTATTATTATTATTTATTTATTTTTTATTTTATTTTATTATTATGTTTCTAATCATTTTATTCGATAGATAGATAGATAGATAGATAGATAGATAGATAGATAGATAGATAGATAGATAGATAGATAGATAGATAGATAGATAGATAGATAGATAGATAGATAGATAGATAGATAGATAGATAGATAGATAGATAGATAGATAGATAGATAGATAGATAGATAGACAGATAGAATTAACCATCAAAACAAGCTTTTAATAGTATTTATTTAAATTAGAAATGTTATGTATCTCATGTTTGCACTGTGTTTGAGAGTAGGACATAATGGTCGGCACACTTTCTCAAGGGGATCTGTGTGCCTAATCTGTATACTTTACAAACCACGTCCATCTCCCGCCTCCCACTTAGTGTTGTTTGTTTAGTGGAATCTCTCTTTTTGTCTCTGGCTCCTCATCTTCATGCTTGTTTCCGCTGCTCTGCATTCAGCCGGTGTGCCGTTCGCGGTGGCATGGAGAGGAGAGGTTGAACAGCAGTTTGAAATGTGAATTAGAGGGGAGAGGGGTGTGCAGGAGCTCTCAGAGGCCAGGAATCAGTAAACCACGCTTTCATTTCATGACATTCTCTCGCTCGAGTGTGTCTGGTAAACACATGCACAGAATACAGCACAGGAATCACAAAGCTGCTCGAGGTACTGCTGGCTTTGGCATACGTGTCTCTGTGACAGCAACATATTTACAATACATGCTTTTGTTTAATAAGCCGCGTTTACTATGTAAAATTATTCATTGATTCTGAGCTGAAGATAAATGTTTACGTATGGCGCTAAGTTGAGTCAATGAGATGGACAAAAATGAAACTATAAGCCCTTTTTAAAGCTTGTGAATATAATAATGGTAAGGATATTCAAATTAAAGATTGACATCTGTCAAGGGCGTTAAATTGGCATGGATGGAAGGGACGTGTCCCCACCAATATCCACCAATTACTGAAATGTCCCTAACAATAATTAAATCGACTTTAAAATAAAATCATGTTCCATCAACCCTTAGTAACCTACACATGCACAAAGTCAAGTTTACTATGAGTTCACCGTATTAACCAAAGTTGTGCAAATTCGATTTCGATTTTGGCCTCCATGATTATGAAAAATAATCATCGGGATAAAACAGTGAAATGGCATCACACACCTCTGTAAATTTCTTTACATTCCCACCTCCTCAAAGTCTGACTGCTATAATGTCCTGTAAACTTTTGCAGCATGAGACAGGATATATTTTAATTCTATTTTATATTTTTTAATTGATATATATATATATATATATATATATATATATATATATATATAGATCTGCAGCCATATCGCACTGCTACATGTATATATATATATATATATATATATATATATATATATATATGTATATATATATATGTGTATATATATATATATATATATATATATATATATATATACATGTAGCAGTGCGATATGGCTGTGTGTGTGTATATATATATATATATATATATATATATATATATATATATGTATATATATACATGTAGCAGTGCGATATGGCTGCAGATCGGCACTGGTGGCATTGACTCGAGTGCTTTAGTGTCCCACCAGTGACGATATACAGCCATATTATACTGCTGCGTGTCATATTGCATTTTTACAATAGTTTGAGGTCATCGTGTATATAAAAAAGAAAATCAAACACAGAAATTCTCAAAAACCGTTGCTCATTCACTAATGTCACTTTAGAGCTAGTATTTGAATGACTCTCTAGCGTAATGTCTAAATTGATGACAAAACAGGTGATTTTGCCGACATTTTAAGATTATAAGGCTGGACGGCTTGAAATGCCATCAGTCTACAGAGATTTCCCAGTATTTCTCTGTTGCAACTGGGAGATCATAATATTTAACCCCGAAACTGCCAAAGCAAAAAAAAGCAAACACTACCAGATTACTATGGTTTAAATAGAGCACTACAACATACAAAAGAGAGAGAGATCGACTTAGAATGTCACTTAACTGATCTGTAATGATTTGATTGACAGCTAAAAAATGCTGTTTTTCCTCCCCTTAGGATGTATTATGCAATGTCTGTCGCCATCTTGTGGCGGAACCCTCTTTGCTCTTCTCAATATGACAGGCTGATGGCTGCTAATGCCGAGTTCAGACTGCATGATTTTAGCCCCGATTTTGACTCGCCGACAGGTTTTGAGAAATCGCAGACAAATATCTGAAACCACAGGCAAATCAGTGCTCGTGCACGTGAGTGACAATCACACAGTGTTAACTATCAATGACGCGATCTGAGAGAATCGCCAATGAGTTGCTGATGCCTGTGAGATATTTGGCGTGCTAAATATCTGGGGCTGTCGCCGATTCAAATCATGCTGTGTGAAATGAGTTTTGATTAAATATAACATCGACGATCGCCTACAGCCAATGAGAGAGCAGCATTCGCTTGTGTGTTTGTACCTGCAGGCCAGCAGGAGGCTGGGGGAAAATTTAAAAGCGCTCATTTTCAGTTTATTTGGACCCAAGAAATGAAGGAACAACTAGTGGAGGTTTGACAGGAGCACCCGTGTCTATTTGACGTTTCATACATAAAGTTAAAAAAGATAGTTGAGGGGAAATTGCTGATTCCCTTTAAACCCAGATGAGCAAATATGTACATTTTCTACCTCATTAAAGGCTTCTTTTTTGTTATGTAATTAATAACAAAGATATACTACGTTTTTTTTTGGCTGTGAGACAAAGTTTGGACGAAGTTTTTTGTGATTTTCCCTATTGTAAAGTCATGCAATGTGAAAACCCCTGTCACCGATCCATCTTGCAGTGTAAACAAAGCAGCGACAAAACACAAGCCCAGATAGTGTGAAAACATCTGTGACACGACGACTTTCAAAATGATGCAGTCTGAACTCGGCATAAAACGTTGAATCTCAGAAATTATGAATAATTAAAATAGGCACTATCCTGATACATAAACTGCATAGTTGCAATCTAAACAACTACATTACTGTCTAAAATAGTCTTAAAAGTAGATTATGTTGTCCAACAGCTGCAATATTTGTCAAACTGTAGTTCTCTGCTTGCCAATCGTGTGGGCGGAGTAATACACAAGGGTGAAGAGGCTGTTCCACTGCTGATGTTAATTTAAAATCTCATATCTCATCAGCCAATCAGATTCAAAAACCAGACAGAATTGTTGACTGTTATAAAATATACATGAAAATATGATTTAGTAAGTTTAAAAACAACAGAAGTCTATGCAGATTCTCCTCATTTTACTGAAACAATGCTTAATCTTAATATAGCATTGAAAATACATACATATATATATATATATATATATATATATATATATATATATATATATATATATATATATATATATATATATATATTGAGGATAGAAAATATTGTTTAGCCACTATAAAATCAAAAGAAAGCTCTGTGGATCATCCCCACAATCCACTGAAACCAAGCATTTGTGTATGTGCTATAAAAACATGTTTTTCCTCACACTGGAATAATGTAAGCACCGCTAATGAATAACGTTCTGTCATTGTTATCTTAATCCGTGTTTCTCCTTTGTGTCTGTTTGTTCTGCAGGAGCTGAGCATTGTTTCCGTAATTTCAGTTCCCCAACCGGAGTGATCGAGTCTCCGGGTTTCCCTGACAAGTATCCACATAATTTGGAGTGCTCCTTCATCATCATCGCTCCTCCTCAAACCGAGGTCACTCTCACCTTCCAGACCTTCGACCTGGAGAACGACCCTCTGCTGATGGGGGAAGGAGAGTGCAAATACGACTGGCTCGATGTCTGGGACGGCCTGCCGCAAGGTTACTGGCTCTTCTTCATACAGTATATACTGTATCTGTATACGTTTCTACAGAGTTGAAGTAAAAATTATTAGACCTTTTTTCTTTTTTAAATATTTAACAAGTCTCATTGGTTTTATTTTGGCTAAAATAAAAGCAGTTTTAAAAATTTTTAAAACCATTTTAAAAACAATATTAATAGCCTTCTTAAGCATTTTTTCCAATAGTCTACAGAACAAACCATTGTTATGCAATTGATTTGCCTAATTTCCTTAATTTTGCCTAATTAACCTATTTAAGCCTTTAAATGTCACTTTAAGCTGAAGTCTAGTAGCTTAAAAAATATCTAGTAAAATATTATATACTGTCATCATTGCAAAGATAAAAGAAATCAGTTATATATATTATAAAGGGGGGGGTAATAATTCTGACTTCAACTGTATCTGCCTGTTTGTCAGTTTACAGTGTAAAAGCTCAGCCTAAGCCTGACAATATTAAAGGCACAGTATGTAATTTTTACCACTAGAGGGCGTGTATTCACAACAAACAAGGGCATAGTTTGATAACTGAGTGTGTAATGGGAAGTTACGGTTTTTATTACATCCCATGGGACTCCTGCAGAAATCATGTTCATGGATGAACAAAAACTTTTAAAGCCTATTATTATAGTGTTATAAAAATCTAAAAGCCATCAAAGCAAAATAAGAGTGATTGCTGATGCGAGACACGAAAGCAGCGGAACTTTTATTATGCAACCGCTTCAGTTTCTTTAATAAACTTTTGATTTCACACAGATTTTAAGCAACATACTGTAACTGTTTTGGAAATTGATAATAATAAAAAAGAAAAGCAATTAGAAAAGAAGTAAAATAATAAATACATTTTAATAAATAAAAACATAATTAATTTTTTTACAGAAAATCAGCATATTACAATGATTTCCTACAATCTCAGAAAAAATGGTACACTGTTGTACCGAAGAAAGTACAAACCCTTGTCACTGGGGAACTACCTTTTTATGGGGCAGAAGTGTACCTTAAGACAAAGAAACTAATTTGTACCATTGCTGTTTGTACCTTTAAGGACATGATATACACCAAGGAAACCCAAAATTTGTTTTTTAAAACCTGCAGATACAATATAGTACCTTCATCAAAGGTACAAATCTGATTCATGAAGGTACCACTACAGTGACAAGACACTTTGTACCTCAACAGTGTCAAAAGTGTTCCTTCAAGAACTATTTAAAGGCTTTTTCCTATTTCCAAAATGGGTCAATTTATTTTTATTAAATATTTATTAAACACATTTATTAAACAATGTTTTAGTTTACAAATAAAAGTTTTTTGTGTGAATAAACATTTTCAATTTACAATAAAGAATAAAAGTACTTTACTTTCTTTAAACATATGCCTTTAAATAATGATTCATATTTTAATATTATTTATAAAATCACTTTGCCTTTCCAGTAATATTTATTTTTATAGGTATTGTAATAAAGGAGTTGTTCAACACTTTTGTGCCTTTTTATGAGAAGAGGTCTTTTCTGTACCATATAAGTAGACCCACACGGTATCTGCACGCGCAGAATTCTGCAGATTTCTGGAGATTTTTAGCCATTATTAATTCTATTCATTTACTTGAGTAAATGTGTAAATATGAATTTATTCAGATTTTATTCAGTAATTTATTACTTTTTATTTAATATATTAAGGTTTTAGTTATGATACTCCGCTGGATACTCCCAAAATAGAATCTGCAGATTCTGCTTATAAGATACAACTTTTACAAAGGTGCAAAACTGTTCCTTAAGTAACCACTGTGTACCTTTTTTTCTGAGAGTGTAAGGCTAATTTAACAGTTTTTTTTTTTATTACAATAAATGCAACCTTGGTATATTTTTCTTCTACTTTATACCATGTGATTTTTTTCCTCCTTAAGTCTATCCTCTTTCCTTCTTACAGTACAGTATGTCATATAAAATTCCACAGATATTCAGACAAGTAGGTTTATGGTATTATGAACTACATGCACATTAACCTAAATTTCCCATCTCACACGCTCTCAGTCTGGAATCAGACTCGGCTCTTGTCGTGCTGACATCTCGGGATCATAGGAGCAGTGTAGAGGGACAGTAAATCAGGGATAAGTAGGGAAGAAATCAGAGGAATACTGTGAGGAAAGCTCGTAATCCATGGAGCAGAGGGAATTTGAAGCACGCAATGCCTCAGCAGATCCACTTCACAGCTCTGTAGCCGATCTCAGATCAGCTTATTTCTCCTCTCCAACATTTCCTTGTGTTCAGTGGGACCCTTGATCGGACGATACTGTGGCTCGAAGATCCCTCCAAAGATCCAGTCCTCCACGGGCCTTCTGTCGCTGTCCTTCCACACTGACATGGCTGTGGCCAAAGACGGATTCTCGGCCAGATATAACATGACCCACAAGGAAGTTAGCGACAGTAGGTGTCATTTATTTATCTTTTTATGTATATTTTTTGATTGCGTCAACACTTTTTAACACATTTGAAGGTCCCATGAAATTAAAATAAAGTTTCTTAGAGGTTAGTATCACCAAAACAGTGGCAACATTCATGTTTAGACAATATAAAACTGCTATAAACATGTATGGCTTGTAGTTTGTCACTTCCGCCAAAATGGATCAACGGTTTTATTCAAGTCACCTCATCCTAGAGCTGGGGTGGCCAACCCTATTCCTGTAGAGCCACTTTCCTGCAGGTTTCAATTGCAACCCATATCAAACACACCTGCCTGTAATTATCACGTGGTGTTCAGGTCCTAATTAATTGGTACAGGTGTGTTTGATATGGGTAGCAACTGAAATCTGCAGGAAGGTGGCTCTCCAAGAACAGGGTTGGCCACCCCTGTCCTCGAGTTTCTCATCAGATCATGACCAATCAAATGCTCTCTAGTATCTGCCCTGCCCCGCCTCCTGCAAGACGCTTCTCGTTTGCTTTTCATTTGGTGCACCTGAGCTCAACCGTGCACTCTGGCTGTTTCTCAATTCCAAGAACGCAGAGAACGGACTTGCATTCTTGTAGAGACCGTTCTTGCCAGGTGTCCTCGGAAGAACGAACTCAGAAGACCACGAGGGCAGAGAATGCGTCCTTTGAGAAATGAGATGCTGCGTTCTTCCTGATGGTCATGTGACCTTCACGCGTTTTAAATAGAAATTATTTAAACATTACAGCACTCATACAACGATTTATTGTTTTCCCCCTCTTCAAAATATATACTTTGCATAAAAACATTATAGATATACTCTGGACAATATAAATAAAACAAATTTTAATACGAATTTCAACAAACAAACACCCTTAATGTTTTTATTTCTTTATTAAGATATTCATGTCAATGTTTACTTTCACCGTTTCATTTAGGGAAACTCCTGAGGTAAATAAGTGATATCTCTGAACTTTAATAATAAATCTAAATAAAATGCTGCGCTTCCCACCTCCAGTCGCAATGACTTCTGGGACTTCCAGAGCGAGTTCGGTGCTCAAGTCTGCATCAGTGCATCCTTGATATCAAGATCACATCCGGGAAGTTTCACGTGTCCTCCGTACTTGCGGTCTTGAGTATTGGAACTGAACTTAGGCAGCTGATGATGACGTTGCATGAGAACACGAGGACGCAAGACCGCTGAAGAACGCACATTGAGAAACAGCCTCTTACTGGCAGAGCTGTGATAAAAAGGAAACTGTTTTTGAGGAATGGGCGGGGCTACACTATGTCCCACCCTCTCTTCGTATTTCGGTTGAGATTATGTCAAACATCGAATAAGAAATGCATATTTCAAAGCACTTCTCAAGATCTTTACACTGGAACTACCAGAATTCTATAACTACTAGAATTGCCGTAGTAGTATTATGACAGTTCTCATATAAGTCGTCATATTGACATGTTACATTTACATTCAAGGCTTTTATTAAGATATTAAAATGAAACTTTGAATGTCTGATGTCATATTTAACTAAAGTCATCAACCTATGAATACAATATTTTTGGTAATACACACAATAAATGTACAGTTATTCTATTAGATGACTCACAAATGTCCGTTCCATACTTTCATTTACATATTCAAGACATATCTAAAGTAAAGTTATGTTTTTGCAAATGTTTTTGCGTGTTGTTTGCAGGAAGCTGCTAGGCAACAGAGGCATGTGTATTTAAAATCCTGGGGAATGGTAGCAGACTCAGCTCATTTGCATTCAATCAGACACACACAAAAATGTATTGGGGCGCTGTTTTATTAACATGTCAGTGTTTACGAATAGATTACATCAAAAAGAACACCAGTAATCTTGACAAACTATACATCAGTCCAAAGCTTCAACCCTCAAGCAGCCTTTACAGTTTTTTTTTTGTTCAATGGAACAATGGAGCATAACACATGTGCATTCATTGCTGTACATCATAGTTTATTTTGAATGGTAAGAATCCTCAGAACAACATTCCATCGAACACATTTAGTCCACTGAAACAATACCCACATAGCAAAATCTCTCTGGCCCAGCTCTGGCCCACACAATCAGGTTTTGCTTGGCCCACATGCCGCAGTGAATTACGGTACATGACTGGACCAAATCTGGCTTCCAGACAAGGGCCAAACACAGACCATATCTGGGCCAAGTCTCAGCCAAGTTAATAACTCATAACTGGGCCTGAACTGGGCCAGATAGGTTGGTGTGTCACGATTGCAATGAAATTGATAAACCCATCGAGTGATGCCCTTTAGGCACACTATAGGCACGCTTTTTCTCAAAGTGACCTGATTGGTAGAATTTATTTTTTTTTACTCAAAAATGGTTTTAGTGTATTTTAAATGTGGGTCAAGACTGGTTAAACTCACATGGCCCACTTATCAAATTTTTAAATCTGGGCCAAATACTACGTTTTTCATCTGGCCCAAATCTTGTGTGCCGCCTTGAAAACGGTGCCACCTCTGCCAAACCCGGGCCATGTTTCGCCCACATGCTGTATGCCAGTGCCGGATGAATGCCTGCTGTGCCAGCTTTTTGCCAAATCTGGGCCAGAATTCTTTGCTACTAGGGTAGCGTTGAATTATGAATGGTCACTGTTTCTGGCAGAATACTGCTGTTTACATTGTTTAATATATTTCTTACGTGCGAAAATGTGCGAAAGCGTCTTTGTAGTAAAAAGTAAGACAAGATGATCTGTGCAAAATTTTAAGCTGAAACTTTGTGGATATAGACTATTTGTTTTGCCAGTTGCACACAGGGTAGCTTTCAAACAGTTTGTAATAGCTATTGTGTTATTTTTGTTATAAAATATTTTTGTTTATTGGAAGTAGTGGAGCATGTGGACTTATTTATTAAAAAAGTGAATTTATATTCTATTATGAGTTCATGTTGTCCTATACTTTACATAAGAAATAAAATTAATGCCTTTTAATTTAATAAAAGGTACAGATAAATGGAAAACACCAACAATAACATTAAAATGTGCATGTATTCAATCATTCACACTGTTTTTCCTCTTATTTAGCGTTTCACTGTAGTAATGCGTTTGGACTGGAGTCTGGGAAGATCTCTGATGATCAGATTTCGGCCTCCACTTCGTTTTATGATGGACGCTGGCAGCCTCGTCAGGCACGTCTGAACAATGAGGACAACGCCTGGACGCCCGGTGAGGACAGCAACAAGGAGTACATACAGGTGAGACAGTTGCTATTCAATTTTTATATGTATCAAACCATAACAAGTAGGCATGTTTTACACAGCGGATGCCCTTCCAGCCACAACCCAACACTGGGAAACACCCATGCACACTCTCATTCACGTCCCAGGAGTTAAAAGGCACACTTATAAATCAATTACTTTTTTACTAAAAGCAAACAGGTCCAAAAACTACTACTTATTACAATATGTATATTCCAATAAGTTTTATTATTAAATATTCAAGTCTTTTATAGATCCTTAATATATCCAGCCAGGATTTAATGAACTTGCATTATTGTTGAAAACACAGAACAGTCGATTCTGATATGTAAAATGATTTTAATTCTTAAGTGTTTTCTGCTTGTAAACTCATAAACAAACAATTGTGCTCGCTTCAAGAGATGGGCCAGATAGGTGAGTACCAATCGAGTCATGAAATGTGATTATTGGCCGATACTGATCTCTGGCCGATCGAGCGGAGCATCACTAGTAGTAACAAGGGGTAATGGATAAACAATTTTATTTTATTGGTATTGTTAAAAAATTTCTAGCATTGCACATTTCTTCGATTAAAAAAAAATGTATATAAACAAAAATTATAAAAATAAATTAATAATTATAATAACTATACTAACAGTAATATTACTACTACTACTAATAATAATTAAAATAATAATATAAACTAATAATAAAACATAATAATAATAATAATAAAAATAATAATAATAAAATAATAATAATATTAATAGCAGTAATAATTATAATAAAAATAAATTAAAATTATAAAAATAATAATAATACTAACAGTAATACTACTACTACTACTACTACTACTACTACTACTACTACTAATAATAATAATAATAATAATAATTAAAATAATAACATAAACTAATAATAAATAATGATAAATAGATATTAATAATAATAATAATAATAAAAATAATAATACAGTAATAATAGTAATAATAATAACAATAACAATAATAATAAAAATAATTATAGGAAAAATAATAATATAAACAAATAATTACAAAACAAAATAAATAATAATAATAATAAGAAGAAGAACAAAAATAAAAGTAATAATACTAATAATAAAAATGTAAATAATAATAATAATAATAATAATAATAATAATAATAATAATAATAATCATACTAATATTAATAAAAATATTATTATTAATAATAATG